TGTACAAGCCAAGTCTTAATCCTTTTTCATGTCAAGACAATCAACTTTGGAGTTGTCAATGAGTGTGGGAAATGTCCTCTTGATTCTGTGTTTTTTACCATTTCCTTTTCTGTCATTCTTTTTTTATTGTCAACATTTTTTATAGATTATAGTATAATTACAACATCTCTCCCTTCATTTTCCTCCCCCCAAACCTTATGATATACCCCTCCCAATTGTCCTTTAAATCCATGGCCTTCTTTTTCACTAATTGGTACTGTATGCATATGTGTATATATTTATATATTCCTAAATATAACTTGTTCAGTCTATATAATGTTACTTGTATATGTATTTTCAGGTCTGACCATTTGGCACTGTGCAACCAATAAGTGTGCTCTTAAGACTCCCTCCCTGAGGACCAGCTTTTATGGTACCTGAAGGCACCATGCATGCTTCCAAAGATGGGAGGTAACTAACAGTCCCACTCAGTGTTAACCCTATGAACCACACCAGCTACCACCAAGGCAAGACAATCCTAAAGGTGAAGTAGTGGCACATATTTTTGGCAGCAACCAGTAGCTCTCTGATTGGTCTTAAGACCTGTTCAACAAGAGGGACACCATGCCTGGTACTGCAAACCTCAATAACTACTCAGGACTAGCAAAGTCACCATCACTGGAAGAAAATCTACAATCACTAGTTTACTAAACCATCTTCTCTAACAACAATCCTTTTCGGTCATTCTTAGACTTCCATTCTAGCTTTGATGTTGGTATGGAGGGAATAGAATGGCCACAATAGCCTATATTGTTTTTAGATGCATGTTAATCTGGTGCGCTACCTCTCCTGTGACAGGATGCTATTTAATAATGCATTTTCAGAAAACTGTATTTTTAAATTGTCAACATTTCAAAGGCAAGATGATAAAATGTAAGTATATTGCCTTTATTTCACAGTCTTGGGTTTTCCTATCTTCTGATTCATTCAAAGAAAAATTTTCTCTTCTTAATTCACTCCCTAAACAGCTTTAACAGATACATGAGCACCATCTCTTGGAAAAAATAAATCACAAATTTAAGGATTTTCAAGAATGGCTATCCCTCAACTGTTATCTTGTATGTAGTTGTTCCAAAATTGACTCAAATGCATATAAAAATGAAGCAGGCTGGGCGATGGTGGCACACACCTTTAATCCCAGCACTCAGGAGGCAGAGCCAGGTGGATCTCTGTGAGTTCCAGGTCAGCCTGGTCTGTGGAGTGAGATCTAGAACAGGCACCAAAATGACACAGAGAAACCTTGTCTTGAAAAAACCAAAACAAGAAAAAAAAATTGAAGCAGCTGTATCATCATATTCTTAAATAAAACTGACCCTTGAAATTTTGAAAAAAGAACAAGTGTGTGTTCTTTTCCACAGTAACACTAAAAGCAACAGGAAAGCCGTGGTTCCATTGCCATCTTGCTTTTCTACTTATCCAAAACCTCCAGGCTCTAAGAACAAAAGCCCCCTGGGAGCCCAGTGGGCTTAGGCCTTAGCCCAAACTAACCCAAGATCCCTTCAAAGGCACCAGATAACACTGCATGACTCCGTACTCTCAAGTTCCCCAGTTCTGAGTCTGGAATCCAGCCCTGTGCACTCCTCCAAGTGATTGGTTCTTTTTCCAAGCTTTGTGTAGGGTCTCTTCTCTACTGACAGACACAGTGGGGGCAGCACGGTTCCTCCACTCTGGAATACTTAACCTTTTAAAACCAAACATATAAACAATCCTGAATTCAAATTTATTCAACTTATAAGTAGATTAAGTTATATAAACATAGTACCATCATGGTTTCGTGTATGTAAACAGAAAGTAAAGAAGGAGAACCCATTACATCAATATTATTATATGTTTTGCACCTATGAAATGTCTTCAAAAAAATCTGTTCACTTGAGAAAATCGTAACTTGAGACGTGATATTGTTAAATGATGAAGAAGAGTAGATAATAAATGTGTGAATCACTTTCAGTCACAAAATTTTACCTTATCTTGGGATCTATATATTAATTTTTATTGGAGAGGAGTTATTTCAAAGACTAAGTTCAATTCTGTGTCTTGTATATTTTATCATAATAAGAGTAATAAACATTTTGCAAATCTATTTGGGAAATAAAATAGTTTGACTTGTTGCTCCCTTTGAGTTTGTGTATCATATACTATTGTGGCATATTAATTAAATAGTACAGGGTCAAATGAATACACTCAAAACAGTTCCTTAGGTACAGTCACAAGTAAAATAGTGTGTGATCAAATGACATTTCACGCAGTCATCAGAAGGATTTGTGGGATCATGTTCTCTTGTACTGATTAGGACACAAATGTGTCCAGCAAGTTTCCTGGGGAGCACTCTTCAGATGAAATTCTGTGCATAAAGAGCAGAAGAAATATCAGTCAGAGGGAGAGGCAGATTTAGGTACAGTCATGTGAGTCCTGCAGGAACCTCTTCAACCCCAGCGTTCCACGATGCCTCATATTTCAGCAAGGGGTCTATGATCGGTTGAATGAAAATGGCCCCAAAGGCCCTTAGGGAGTGGCACTATTAAGAGATGTGGTTTTATTGGAGTAAGTGTGACCCTATGGGAGGAAGTGTGTCACTCGCAGGATGGGCTTTGAGATTTCAGAAGCTCAAGCCAAGCCCAGTGTCTCTCTCTTCCTGATGCCTGCCAATCTGGATGTAGAACTCCCAGTTTCCTCTCCTGCACCATGTCTGTCTGCATGCAACCATGCTCCTCACCATGACAATAGTAGACTAAACCTCTGAAACAGAAAGCCATCCCCAGTGAAGTGTTTTTCTTTTACAAGAGTTTGCCATGGTCATAATGTCCCTTCACAGCAATAAAACGCTAAGACATGTCCTAAGAGGTTGTTCTGCCACACCCAGCAGTCAACACACTTGACCTGCCACCAGCCAGAGGACATAACCTTGTGTAAAGCAGATCATTCATGGATATCAAGTCTCATGATCTCATCCACAATCAAACTTCTTAGCATCTGAGAGTCTTTCATGTGAAGGACTATTTCAGAGTTGTGCCTCAGTACCTACCACAATGCCTATTTTTGCAGAAGGGAGGGTTTCATGTTATTTATATTTTAGACTTAATTTCAACTGTCTCCACAAATCTAATAAGCATATACTATCTTTTATCCACTTATTTTATTTTTTTATTTATTTAATTTGTTTGTGTGTGCCTCCATGACTTTATGTGCACCATGTGTATGTAGGTGCCCTCAGAAACTCAGAGCCCCAGGATGTAGAGTTAAAGTTGGTTGTGAATTGCCTAACCTGGGTTCTCTGCAAGAGTGGTAAGCTTTCCTAACCATCTCTCCAGCACATAGCACATCCTTTAAACTCAGATATTTAGTGTTAAATTCTTAGACTGACAATAAATTTACAAAAAGGATCTTAGAGCCTCAGCTTTCAGGGGCATGCCAATAAGGACTTACCATAACAATCAGTACCTTTAAATAAAAAGAATAAATTCTCAAGGCACTATTTTCAATGCTGTTCTGTAAACATCCTTTTTCCAAACCTATGTATGCATGCAGGTACTTTAAGCCATTGCAACAAAGAATCTGGGAATTCTGACTCTTACTGATCTTCTCACATCCTCTTGAACAATGGTCTCTGAGCCTTGGGTGCAGGAGCTGTGATGTTGATGTATCCATCGGGTCTAAGCTCCCATAATCTCCTGATATCTCCATTGTGTCCAGTTGTGTTTTTATTATGATGTTCTCTATTTGCTGGAAAGAGAAGCTCCTCTGATAAGGGATGATAGTTACACTTCATCCTGTGAGTGTAAGCACAAGGTTTAGAATATAGCTAAGAAGTGTGCTGGTCTAGAAAAATGGCAGTAATAGACTCTCTTCTAAGATGCGTGACCTCATTGTTCCTGAGAGCTTGGGAAGTTGGCTGGGTTTCTACTACCAGGCATGATTTCCTGTTGAATGAACTTCAAGTCCAATTAGACAGCTGTTGGTTACTAACATGTGAGTGCCACTTACTGCATCTTGATAGATACTTTGGCATTCTGGTCATTGCTGTGGTTAATAGGAGTCACTGCTGGGTATGAAGAGAGGGTGGAAAGATTGTCAGAGCCAAAATAACAGAATACCTGCTGTGAAAAAAAAGTCTCTCATAGAAATAGCAGCATAAAAAAGACCTAAACAATGGCAATAGTAATAGGCATACTAATACAGGATGGCGAAAGTCTCACAGGGTCCCAACCCTAGACCAAGAACTATAGGCAACAAATGACTGCAGAGAGAGGGAAAATTAGTTTCTCCCAGCGATGAGCTCCCTAACTGGTTATCCAATACAAAGAGGTCGTCAGTCTTGCAACCTTATCCACACAAACAACAAAAATGGAGTAGGCAGATTGTGGCTATATATTTCTGCATACATATACACATGTATATGCATGGAGCAACAATAATCAAAGAAAAAGAGGTTGCCAATGTGAGAGTAGGGGAGCATGGGAGGGGCTAGATGGATGGAGCTTGGAAGAGGCTCGAGGGAGGCAAGGCAAAGGGGAAATTGATCTAACTGGATTTTATTGAATGTATAAAAATAAAATAATAATATTTTAATTAAAATGCATAAAAAATAAGAGTTAAAACAATTAAAATCATCTGGGGAAATGTAGGTAGGGTCTTTTAAGTTGCTAAGAAAACACAGCAATGTCAAATAAGACACAAACTGATACCTAAATATAGTTCATAGTTTGAACATTAGGTTCTAGAACATTCCTTTAGATAATGTGATAGTTTTGTAGGGTAGAATTGTCTGGGTCTTCTGGATGAAAAGCACTGCAATGCATAATGAACTTAGAATAAAAATGTAGGTGGAAACAGCTAACTCAGTGCTGAAGTCTGGGAAGTTGTATCATGCGCAGCAGGTACACAAGTCACATTAGTAAGTGATTGTAACTTTTAAGAAATACAAAATATCATTTTATCCTCAGTGTAAGTACATTAAGATTTTTTAAAGTATGGAACATTTCACAAATTAGCATATCATCCTTAATCGGGGGCCATGATAATCTCTGTATTGTTCTGGTTCTAGTATGTGCTGCCAAAGTGGGGACATTTCTTTTTAAAATGGCAGCAAGAGAACATTGTCTGTCTCTGTCCTTCTTTTACATGCACACTAATAATAGCATTTGTTGATAACCATAAGCACTATGAAGTTATTGAGTCTTGCATCCTTCATGTCATGGACTATAGACATTTGCACACATGTTCTATCTTGTGACCAGTATTAAATGTTTCAAATAGAAGGAGCTGCTCTTCAGGGATGGTGCATCTGGCTTACAGAGAAGCCAGTGTATGTTAAGAAGAATACAGTATTAGAGTGTCAGTCCTAATCATGAACTTGTATGCATGTCTGTCTAAAGAAATGGCAAGCCATTTTTTAAGAATATTATGAATTACATTCTGCCCTGCATTGAGATTTCACGGCCCACCACATCAACCATGCTTTTCTTCAATTTCCTTAGTCCCCATACCCTTCTAATACTAGCAAATCAAATGAAAACCTGATAGCTGGACTCACACAAAACTCCCTGCCTCCTTTTTCTCTCCTATCCTCCACAGAAAACAACTGTTCTTCGAAATCAGACCACTCTCTTCAGTTAACCTGCTCTTGAATCTCAGACAGAGATCCCACCCTCCACCTCAGAGACCAAAGGAAAGTCATCCCACGGGAGCCCCTCAGACCCTGGGGAGGCACATGTGGACACTGCTCTGGTTTCTTTGGCTATTTCGCCTATGATATTATCTACTGCTCTTCCTTCCCCATGTCAAATAACTTGTAGTGTCCTTCCAGTGTCCCCCTTTTTAGTGGATACTTCCCACACATAAGCAATCAGAAATCTTCCTGGATATATTTAAAACCCTTTCCTGATTCGGGTCTTACCCCTTCTTAGCAATCACATACCCAAATGAACTCTTCATTCTCAGTGTCAATGCATTCATTCCTTGCCCAACACATTTCCCATTTACTCCACTCTGAGTCTGTTCATTGCTCCAGTGAAATGACTTTCGGGAAATTCACTGGTAACTATTACTTCAGTACACAGCCAACTAGCTTTATCTTCTTTCTCCCTGAACTATAAGTTAGAGCGGGGTAGAGCTTCAAAGTCAGAGTATCTTAGTTCAGATCAAGACTTCAGGACTACTAGCTGTGTGGTTCTGGACAGCTTTGTTAATCTCCTGCTATTGGACTTTATGTGCAATGTGAACATTATAAAGGACTTACACAATAGAGTTGTGTTGGAGAGCAAATTGGAGAGATGATTTCTCATGAAGCACAGAATACATGTTGAATAAGTGCTCGTTTGGTTTATAATCTTCTTCCTCGATGAAGACAAGCCTCGGGCGATTCGGGCGATTATTCACATTATGTAACTGATAAAAGTGGAATCCCGATAGCCTTTTATTTTAAACTATCTTTTCAAGGATTTTTTAAAGTGTTTTTCTTAGAACTGGAAGATTCCTTCAAGACAGATGATATAGTAATTGCTGAACACTAAAATAAAGGTAATATTTCCTCCCAGGGAAATTGGACTACTTTGGTGGCAGCCTTTTTAAAAACACCGGATAGGGGTGGGAAACATGCTCAGCAGCTAAAAGCACTTGTTGCTCTTGAAGAGGACCTGGGTTTGATACCCATCACACATAAGGCACTCACAATCATCTCTAACTTTGTTCCAGAGGATCTGAAACCCTCTTCTGGCCTCCACAGCCAGGCACACATGCAGCGCACATACACACATGCAGGTGAAATACCCTGAACTCATAAAATAAAAATGTTAGAAATAAAATAATATACCAGGGATCCTCAGCTCTGAAGTCAAGAGCTGGGATATGAACTCACTGTGGGCAGCATTTAGCAAGAGCCAAATTTCACAACCCGGGTTCAGTGTGGACCAGCTCAAGGCACACATCCCTACAGTCCTCTGGATCTACCTCAAGAATTGCAAGCCTACTCTGAGAATTCTTGAATCCACAACCCTCCACCTTGTCAGCTCACAGGAAGGGAAAGTCTCTGATCTTTTGGCTCTGAAAACTGGACACAGCATCTGTGGTGGAACTTTTGCCACCACCTTATCCTCCCCATTTGACTCCTATGGCATCTGCATGGTAGCATTTCACAGAGTGCTGCCTCTCTTTATCATTCCTAATTCCACACAGCTCTCCATGGTGCTGAGGTCTGACCCCAAAGGTTCTCTTTCTGCTTGGCTTCAGCTATCAATGCAATGGCAAATCTAAACTGCCCAAGCCCTAGATCTTTCCCGAATGATAAAAATACATGCCTAGCTAAGTGCTCATATGACTATCCCCCAGAGGTTCCCAAAGTCAGCATCCTGAACACCAAACTTTCTAGTGAAGACTTGTCCCTGCTTTAGAATCTGTCTTCTGTCTAGGTGTCAGAGCTTTCTTCTCTTATTGTGGTTGTCACAGTACGGTGACTCCTCACTCACCTCACGATCAGCCATTATTTGTTACTTTCCTCAGTGTTTGTGAGAGAACAACGGATGAAACTCACTTAAGGAAGAAAGGGCTTTATTTGACTTGCAGTTTCAGGATACCATCCACTTTGAGGCATCGTGTGAGGCAACTGGTCACATTGCATCACAGGAGACAGATAAAAGCTGCGCCTAACCTGCTTTCTCCTTTATTCAGACTAGGTCCCCAGCCTGCAGAATGATACTGCCCACATTTAGAAAGGCTATTCCTTCCTTAGTTTGGACTTCTCTGGAAGCACCACTATAGGCATACTCGGAGATTTGTCTCCTATGCTGTTCTCAATCCAGCCACAATGAGAAGCAGGATTCACCATCATAGCCACCAAATCCATTACACCCCCAAGTAGACTCCCCATACAATTGTTTCTCACTGTTGATACCAATGTACCCACAAACAATGGTTACAGACTCCTAAACTGCCTCCTTCGATTCTTTCTTTCTCTGATTTATCACACTGAAATAAAGAAACAAAGAAGAATTCTTTAGATTTAAAGTATTATTTAAAACACATCGAAATGACTTACCATTGACTTTATGTCAAAGTCCAGTCTCTCAAATTGGTTTGCGAAGCCTGCATCCATACCCATCACTCATGTATCTTCTTTGGGTATTTCCTTCCTGAGGCATACTGGACTCTGCTTCCAATGTTCTGTTACTCCATGAAATGTTTTCACTGTTCCTCGCTAGAATTGCTGTGTCTCCGATATTTCATTAGACAATCTGTTTTTACATCTTCTTATCCACTAAGGTGAGAATTTGAAAATGGAAGAATTGCTAATTACTTTAGCATTTAATTGTGTGCTACGATGATAAATCTAAAAAGCAATCAATGCTTTAACACTGTTATGAAAGCAAAATGTCTGCCATGATGACTTTCATCTCGGTCCAAGGGAAAAATAGGAGTTGGTTATTAAGGCAAATATTCAGGCAATCAAAAAGTCTTTCATCAAAGTAATGAGATCTCCTGGTCACCCCGATATGTGTCTGAAATCATAGTAGTCCAATGTCAAATATACAAAAGGACTAAGTAATGTTGATAGCAATATTATTTTAAAAGATATAGTTGATTTTACTTCTAAGTATGACAGAGTATACAACTAGCCCATAGTAAGAACACGAACTCTTCCAGAAACAAGAAACTGCTCTTTGAAGACAGCAGAGAATAGTGAAAGACAGCTAAAGTTTCCAAGAAAAAAAAATCATGCTGAAGAACTAGAATTTCTCCAGAGATTTTAACTTAGTGTCTAAGGGTGTTTAACAGGTCCATTTTCTCTGCCAAATAAAGAAGAAGAAGAAGAAAAAGAAAAGGATAATTTTTGATTGTAGCAGAGAATATCCCTGACACGGCAGATATAAATGACAAAGAAAATCTACTTTTATTAAAGATGAGAATGTAACACACACACACACACACACACACACACACACACACACACACACACACAGCAAGGCACACAGAAAGCAGACCTCTGAGAAGCAGAAAGGGGCTCAGGAAGTCAATGTTCATCTTATCCTGGGTGGCTGGGGGATGTAAGGCTCTTGAGTGAGCTAGAATTGGGTCTTCCATCCTTAATTTAGGATTGGTCACTTTAAAGAGCAAAAGGTAAATTGTTAGGCCCACATTTCTGGCAAATCTATCCCAGCCCAGCCTTGAACGTCTTACTTTTATGGAACACATTAAGTAGTCTTAAATGTATGTTTTCCTGTGGGTATTGTACAATTATATTAAAGTTCAAACTTGGATTCATCAATATCTGTTAGTCTGTGTGTATTTATATTTATTTCCCTAATTTGGGGCCATATAGTTTACTTCTTGTCTATTTTGTAATTTTTTTTCTGAATGGTGGATGTGATATGCTGATAATTTTACACTCTCCAGATGACATTCTGTTGCTCAGGGGGAGACTTGACTTGTATTTGCCAGGCATAATTGACCATTCATGGTATTTTGTGCTCGCCTTTTTCTTGGTGTCTAGCCCGTTAGGGCTCTTCAGTACAGGTCTAGGTCATCCTTTCTGTCACCTCTCAATCAGTGGATCTTAAAGGCCTTATTCAATGCTGAGAAGTTGCCAATTTTCCTGTTTGACATTTTGGTCTCTTAAAGTTCTTTTCTGCTTCACTTCTCAGAAACTGCCCATTTATAAATGAAATTTAGGAAATGATAACTGTTTCCAGAAGCAATTTCATCCCGCTTTTAGGTTACACTTATTTGTGGTTCTCTTTTGCTTCAGCATCTTGGATCCTTGCTAGTCAGTCACTTCTTTTTCTCTCAGGTCTGAGGGACGGTTGCAAACCAAGACACCATTCCTTATGGGTATGCACCAATAACTAGCACTGAAAAGTAACAACGAAGGACTAGAAATTAGGCAGATTCCTGACAGGCAGGATGATAGGAAAAGGGGCCACAAATAGATGATAAAGATGACAAACATTTAGCTTTTTCTTCACCCTACAGACTTGACACACAGGCCCTGCACCTTCAAAGACCTGGGAGGCCTTTTCTTCTGCCAGTAGCCTTCCCTGTCTACAGATCTTCCAAGGATTCCAAGGACTAATGA